CTTGGACTGGAGTCAAGGCCCAGCATGGCCTGGAGTCAAGGCCCAGCATGGCCTGCAGTCAAAGCCCAGCATGGACTGGAGTCAAGGCCCAGCATGGCCTGGAGTCAAGGCCCAGCATGGCCTGGAGGATAGGTGTCAGCATGGACTGGAGGCTAGGTGCCAGCATAGCCTGGGTTCAAAGCACCATTGTTTTGAACTATTTACTTCTCTATTTTCTATTTTATGATCTGTAATGTTGGATATTTTATTTCTTTTTTTTTAATAATCTTTCCTGAGGACATGTACTAAAGAATCTGTACTGTACCTAAGATGGCGTCCTTTTTTCTTCACTGACTACGTAGATAGAGTTTATATTTCTTTCCTGCGAGTCCTGCTCACAGTTTGTCAAAAAAGCAGCTGCAAAGGCCGCAGACTGAAGCTGCTATGTGTAATGATTGATTGGAATGCTCATACTCAGGGGGCCATTACCCAGCCTGTACATCTGCTTTTAAAAAATCACCCCAATGTAATAAAGGAACCAGTGGCATAAAGTGACAATGGAAAATGCCTGTCAATGGGTTGCCCTGTCCTCTCCAGTTTTGCACCCGATAGCAGGTCCAACATCCACAAATAGGGCAGGTTGGCAACATCCCAAATCCACCCCAGCCGGACCACAGATCCAATCCTGTGCTGCTGGCACCAATCTGATCCACAAGGACTGCCCAATCAACTTTGCCAAGCACAGGACCCAGGACAAGGGGATACACTATGGCCTAATAATGTCCCTGGGCATCAGGTCCTGGAGTGGGCTGCAAACCCAGAACGTCTGGCTCAGGGACAGGGGCACTACCCACTGCACCACCAGGCCTCCTGGATCCTGCTATTTTTAATGGGATATGGCTAGGCCAGCAATTATTGCCCATCCCTAGTTGCCCTGAGGGCAATTAGGAGTCAACCACAGCGCTGTGGGTCTGGAGTCACATGTATACCACACTGGGTAAGGATGGCAGATTTAATTCCCTAAAGGGCATTAGTGAGCCAGATGGGTTTTTATGTCAACCAACAATGGTTACAGTGTGATCACCTTTTACTGAATTCCAATTTCATCACCTGCTCTGGAGGGATTCGTACCCTTGTTCCCCAGAACATATCTCTTGTCCCCAAAGTCAAAATTTAGCCCTTGTCTGTCTGATTGTAATTGAGGTAAAGGTGAGAGCAGCACAGTCAGGTCAGTACAGTTGTAACAGGTAGATAAGGATTGTAAAGAAGGCTTATGGAATGTTCTCCTTCACTGGTGTGATGAAACTGTACAAGACAGTGGTGAGGCCACAACTGGAGAACTGTGTGCAGTTCTGGTCACTGCATTACAGGAAGGACGTAACTGCTTTGGAAGGAGTTCAGAAACAGTTCACCGGAATGTTGCCAGGGCTGGAGAATTGTAGCTACGAGGAGAGATTGGAAAGGTTGGGATTGTTTTCCTTGGAACAGAGAAGGCTGAGGCTGAGGATTGAGGTATACAAAATTGTGAGGGACAGAGATAGAGTAGATAGGACAGCCCTGTTTCTCTTGGCAGAGGGTTCAAAAACCAGGGGCCATAGATTCAAACTAAGCGGCAGAAAGATTGGAGGGGGCGTGAGGAAAGACGTTTTTACACAGAGGGTGGTGGGAGTATGGAACTCACTGCCTGAGTTGGTGGTGGAGGCAGAGACTCTAAACTCTTACAAAATGTACCTGGATCTGCACCCTAAGTGCTGTAAGCTGCAGGACTATGGGCTGTGTGCAGGAAGGTGGGATTAGAAAGGGCACCTGCGTGTCTTTGGGTCAGCGTGGACATGATGGGCCAAATGGCTCCTTCTGTGCTGGATTTTTAAGGTTTCTGTAGTAAGCCCCAGGACTAGGGAGAGAGGAGATTTCAGCCAAAGCCTCCACTCTTCTCCTGGTCACTGAATGGAAACTGCTTGAGTGTAAAATGAGGGCAACATCATGTTCACATATCCCAGAGTGAGCTTTACTCAAACAGCACCTTCCAAACCCACAACCACCTCTAGAAGGACAAGAGCAGCAGGTACATGGGAACACCACCCCTGCATGTTCCCCTCCAAGCCACTCACCATCCTGACATGCAAATATATCGCCATTCCTTCACTGTCACTGGAATTCCCACCCGAATTACATTATGGGTCGACTTACACCACATGAACTGCACCTAATTGAAATGTGGAGCTTGTTCAAGGAACAGCTACTGCGTGTCCTTGATAAGTATGTACCTGTCAGGCAGGGAGGAAGTGGTAGAGCGAGGGAACCGTGGTTTACTAAAGAAGTTGAATCTCTTGTCAAGAGGAAGAAGGAGGCTTATGTAAAGATGAGGCGTGAAGGCTCTGTTAGGGCGCTTGAGAGTTACAAGTTAGCCAGGAAGGACCTAAAGAGAGAGCTAAGAAGAGCCAGGAGGGGACATGAGAAGTCTTTAGCAGGTAGGATCAAGGAAAACCCTAAAGCTTTCTATAGTTATGTCAGGAATAAAAGAATGACTAGAGTAAGATTAGGGCCAGTCAAGGACAGTTGTGGGAAGTTGTGCGTGGAGTCCGAAAAGATAGAAGAGGCGCTAAATGCATATTTTTTGTCAGTATTCGCACAGGAAAAAGACAATGTAGTCGAGGAGAATACTGAGATACAGTCTATTAGACTAGACGGGATTGAGGTTCATAAGGAGGAGGTGTTAACAATTCTGGAAAGTGTGAAAATAGATAAGTACCCTGGGCCGGATGGGATTTATCCTAGGATTCTCTGGGAAGCTAGGGAGGAGATTGCAGAGCCTTTGGCTTTGATCTTTATGTCATCATTATCTACAGGAATAGTGCCAGAAGACTGGAGACTAGCAAATGTTGTCCCCTTGTTCAAGAAGGGGAGTAGAGACAACCCTGGTAATTATAGACCAGTGAGCCTTACTTCGGTTGTGGGTAAAGTGTTGGAAAGGATTATAAGAGATAGGATTTATAATCATCTAGAAAGGAATAATTTGATTAGGGATAGTCAACACGGTTTTGTGAAGGGTAGGTCGTGCCTCACAAACCTTATTGAGTTCTTTGAGAAGGTGACCAAACAGGTGGATGAGGGTAAAGCGGTTGATGTGGTGTATATGGATTTCAGTAAAGCATTTGATAAGGTTCCCCATGGTAGGCTATTGCAGAAAATACGGAGGCATGGGATTGAGGGTGATTTAGCGATTTGGATCAGAAATTGGCTAGCTGTAAGAAGACAGAGGGTGGTGGTTGATGGGAAATGTTCATCCTAGAGTTCAGTTACTAGTGGTGTACCGCAAGGATCTGTTTTGGGGCCACTGCTCTTTGTCATTTTTATAAATGACCTGGATGAGGGTGTAGAAGGATGGGTTAGTAAATTTGCGGATGACACTAAAGTCGGTGGAGTTGTGAATAGTGCAGAAGGATGTTGCAGGTTACAGAGGGACATAGATAAGCTGCAGAGCTGGGCTGAGAGGTGGCAAATGGAGTTTAATGCGGAAAAGTGTGAGGTGATTCACTTTGGAAGGAGTAACAGGAATACAGAGTACTGGGCTAATGGTAAGATTCTTGGTAGTGTGGATGAGCAGAGAGATCTTAGTGTCCATGTGCATAGATCCCTGAAAGTTGCCACCCAGGTTGATAGGGTTGTTAAGAAGGCATACGGTGTGTTAGGTTTTATTGGTAGAGGGATTGAGTTTCGGAGCGATGAGGTCATGTTGCAGCTGTACAAAACTCTGGTGCGGCCGCACTTGGAGTATTGCGTACAGTTCTGGTCACCGCATTATAGGAAGGACGTGGAAGCATTGGAAAGGGTGCAGAGGAGATCTACCAGGATGTTGCCTGGTATGGAGGGAAGGTCTTATGAGGAAAGGCTGAGGGACTTGAGGCTGTTTTCATTAGAGAGAAGAAGGTTAAGAGGTGACTTAATAGAGACATACAAGATGATCACAGGATTAGATAGGGTGGACAGTGGGATCCTTTTTCCTCGGATGGTGATGGCTAGCACAAGGGGACGTAGCTTTAAATTGAGGGGTGATAGATATAGGACAGATGTCAGAGGTAGGTTCTTTACTCAGAGAGTAGTAAGG